AAACGGTTCAAACATTTTTAAGATATCAACAATACGAAGCAGAGGCAACAATAATGTTCCCTTAACTTGAGTACAAGAGTGAATATGCAGCTAAAGGTCATTTCTTAGGTTTTCTTTCATCTTTGGGGGCACATGCAGAATTGTTGAATTACCCCCAAACCAAACCACATTTTTGCACCTAAGCCTTATTGCATTATTGTCATAAAGAGATTGTTTATTTTTCAGCAGTGGTTTTTAACGTATTGTCTGTGGCAGATCTGCTGCTGCTGCCTGCACATTTAGAGACAAACAACCTAAATGATCATTTAGGCGGGAGGGCTTGTTGCTGCGTAGTGGACCGCACAACAAAAACTGCATAAACATTCATCTAAGCCATGTCTCTCCCGCGCTCACCCTTTGTCTGTATGACTCTGAGACAAATGCTCGCACTCGGCCACACAACACGGAGCTCGGCTGTCACCGCTCGCTGCTATTTTGCAACCGAAACCATTACATGTTTTGATATGAAAAGTTTGATGACAGCTTAGCGGTTTCTGATAATGACTAACCAAAGGATGCAGAATAAAGAAAATAAACTAACTAGAAATTAAAGAGGATGATGCAATGACAATGACATGAAGGGAAAGAAAATGAGAGAGTAGAGCACACGGGACAATGAGGTCGCTAATAAAATCTTAGTGCTGCCACTTTGATGTCACAAAATTACAAGACAAATCCGACCAATGCATTACTAACAGCGGCACACCAGAGAGGTGAAACGGTGGATCTGGACTCCTCAGATGTCAGGTAAGTTTCTACATACTGATGTAATGTGATCTTCCAGAAAGTGACCAGACATGGTTTTGGAATTTTTTTGCAGTCGCTGCTTTGTTTTACACAACAAACCCCAACATTTGGTGCATGTGCAGACTTAAACAAACTATAAAAAGTATTATTTCTAAACCTGGCTATACCTAAAGAGATAAAACGGTGTCATTTACTCATTAATTTGTCGTCCTATGATTGCATCATCTCTTCTTAAAAAGTCGTTGTGTCCTCATATTTCCATTGCTGGAAAAAAAAAAAAAAAAAAGGCGTCACAACTTAAAAATTTGGCCTTGATAGAATCAAGCAGCTTCTGCCCATTGGTGGGAAAGTGCTGATTAATTGTGTCGTAGCCCTGTGAGAAAGTACGCCCAGCGCAAAGCACTAATTATGGGCCCTGCCTGGCTGAGAGAAAAGGGGGCAAAACTCTCAACAAAGGCTCATCTCATATCTCAAGACAATGAGGAGCCAAAAGAATAGGAGAAAGGAGAAGTTAATGAGCTGTGTCACCTGGCATCTGTTGATGCTGGGACAAGGACTGACTGGTGTGTGTGTCTGTGTGTTTGTGTACATGTGAAAGAGAGACAAAGTTTTTATGTATGTTTACATGTGGTTTCCCAAGTTCATCAGTGTGGGGTCCTTTTCTGTCTGCAGCGTTACCCAACAGGCGGGCTCGGAAGTCGACATGATTCAAACATGTGAATTACAACCTTCATATATGATAAAGTATTTTGTTTCTTGATCGTGGTGCCAAGTAGTCACCATGTTTAGACTTTTTAAATTATTATTACAGAATTATATAATAATGCATGTGCTGCATGTCGCTGTCTGTTCAGCCACAGAAGCTGTCATGGTGTGCTCAGATCATTCTATATGTAGGAAACAAACAATTACAGATGCTGTTTGTAGTGAAAAACACAACACAAGAGAAAAAGGCGCAAAGAAAACATGTAGACCCCCCAAGCTAATTAAACCACGACACTAAAGGCGTGTGTGTAAATGCAGCTGTTTGTCACTCTGTGTTGGAGGTGTTCTTTGCATTCAGGATATAAATATATATATATATACAATATCTACATTAATTTCTGCTGTTTTTCGACATCTCTGTTCATGCTTCTGCTCTTGCTTTATTAGCTGCCATGCATGTGTGAAGTTATGATAAATGCATCTGCAGCATCAACTTACCAAGAAAATCCACAGACAGGTGTAACACCCAGTGGAGTCAAATCCCAAAGAGTCGCAGCTGCAGCTGTAAAATGTCATGAACTGTAAAATAATGCTACAACCCATTTATTTATGGGGTACTCCTGAGGTCTGGGCGTTTATACTACAGAATCAATTCAAGCTTTACAAAAAATGTTGCATATGAAAAAAAGCGTCTCACTTTTCATGAAACGCAACCTGATAACATCTTTTGCAGACCCAACCTGCCTTTTAAACATCCACGTCTTTTAAAAGGTAGTTTATGATGACTTAGAGGTCACCGGGCCAAACTAACATGTTGTGACCATCCTGTTAAAGGTTCATTTGAAGGCACCGTGTAATCTAATAGTAAACAAATGTCACTTAACTACAAAAGTTTGCAACAACTGGAAGCTGTTGAGATGACTGACTGGAGCTACGTAACAATTATGTAAGAACACAACACAGCAGTAAAACAAAAAATTAAAATTAAAAATAAAAACAAAACAAGTCCTGTCAGTCCTCAGCAGAGAATAACACAAAAATGCAGATTTTATTGTTTTAAACACAAAATGTACAGTTACGTAGATAAAGATGCTTCACAAACAAATTACAGCTAAAAAGCTTTCACCATTGGGCCAAACTTTAAATATCAATATTTCATATGAGTTTGAAGTGTAATAGAATAAGGCTGACACAGCACATCTTCTGACCTTTATTTTAGATTCCTTTTTCATAACACGCTGGCCACATGTTGTTATGAGGAGAACACAGCAGAGGTCTGGCTTTCCAGAAACTGTATGTACAGTAAGCACATTTGTAATCCTGTAAAAACACAACTCAGCCATGTATTCAAAAATACTTTGAGAATCACAGAGAGTTTCCCCTGTGGATTTCACAGTCATAGAAGGCGACCAGTCGCCTGTGGTTAGCGTTTAGCACAAGTTAGACAGGCGGTAGCGGCGATGCTGTTTTGACAGTAAATGACGTGATGTGAAACTGCATTTAATGGCACAAGGTATATTATAGCTTAAACTTTGTTGTGTTTGGCTTCAGAGGTTTGTTTTTGACTGACCTTGAGGGACAAGTTCAGTAATATTCAGAGAGACAAAAACTTGTTTCATGTCTCATACAGAATAAATTTCTGTTGACAGGGCTAATTGTTAAGTGTGTGGTTGCTGATCTCGAGGCCAAAGAACCACTTTTGGTTGTCCCACTAAAATTTGTATAACTTATTCAGAACCACAAAGGTTTTCCCAACATTGACACTGCTTTCTGGTCATACTGTACCCATTGTGCAGAGCTTCAGTGTGCTGAGATTTTCTAATAATAGAATATAAACTACTTGGCAAGCTGGACTGCATTTAAAGATTCCACCTCCTTTGAAAAGGGGCCGGGCTTTGCAAAAGGGAATTCTATGTTTCATTTTGAAGTTATTGGTCCAGTTCCAAGACCATCTAGCCTCCAATGATCAAAGGTTGAGTCAGAGAAAAGCCTAGCGGGAGGCTTATGCAAAAATGTCGTCTCCTTATTGCGAATCGGTCGACATGTTGGAAACCATCGGCGCTCGTTTAAATGTCAATATACCCAGATGCAGTTTGGCTGTGCTTGGTCAAGTTTGAAGTATGTGGATGAAGAAAAAAAAAAAAAAAAAAAAGAAAGCTTCTTGCTCGCATAAATAGAATTTGGAGGGTTTTGAAAGTTACATTGATTAAATTCCTAAACCAAGGATGATTCTAACTCCCAGTCTTTTGGGACACCAAATATCTGCAGACAGAGATGCACAAAAATGTGAGTATTTACTTTGATAAGCAGCGGAATAGAAGTTTTTATTTGCAGCGTTATATATGGACACCTTGTTGCTGGGACACATTTAATAAATATTCTCGCTCCGTGCTGGTTTTTCCTCTCGATAACGTATAATCATTCTTCCATAGAGGAGATAATAAGCAGTTAAGAGAGATGAAGAAGAGATAAAGGGACGTAAAGCATTCCTTAAAGTCCTGCAGTTATCTCAGCTTCTTCTCTTACTCTTACTCTTACAGCCCCCCTCCCCCCCCAAGACAAGCAGGATCAGTGCTGATCCATTATGTTAATGGCGGACCGCTGGGTCGCACATCAAGCGCTAAGTTTCCACCTTTAAAAGCAGGCCAGACGTTGAAAATCCCACGACAGGACGGGGGGAACTTCTAGATCTGTCGGAGGTAACTACCAGAGTGGAGTGAAGAGGGGGGTGCGGGGGGGCCTGATAGCATCGCGAGGAATTTAAACAAAAGTATTTTTTTCTCCCTCAAAGCCGCCATCTTTCAGTCTGACGGTTACTGTAAACATCATTCCTGCACACAGCATTATAAAGACATGCTACTCCACATTCCTTTAGCGCTTTTAAAAGATGGAAAAATGTCTAAAATATTGTGTGTTTACTGGTTCGGAGGACGGAACATTTACATCAAAGCGAGTTGTATTTTTAAGTGTCCAGGCGTCATTTGAGATCTGATCCTGTTCTTCCCTCTTGGCAAATGTGAATTTATTTTTTTTTGTCTTGTCACTAAAGCTGTGACGGAACAATTACTCCGATATCATATTTTATGGAACCACAAAAAAAAAAAAAAGCACATATCCAAATAAACATTTTACTTTCTCTTTGTTTTATAATTCTATCATGAAATCAATGTTTTTACAAAATCACCCACTGTGTGAACTCTCACCGCCCCTCACAGTGATATAAAAAGCCTTCAGATATGTTGCAATAGGCCTTTCTCAAACCACTGACCTTAAAAGCAGTCCTCACGCTTTGGGTTTGTATATAAAAATGCATACCTTGGCAGTATGCAGAGAAGGGAATGTACTCTATGTCCAACCATTCGCTACCTGCAGCATTTCTCTTTCAGGCAGCGTGATATTCAGCGTGCACATCCTCGAATTCCAGCCTAAATTGGGAAATAAAGGCAACTCTATCTTTCTCCGTGGTGCAAAAAACACATAGAATAACTCTTCTTTTTTTAAAATATAGTCCTCATTTTATTAACAGAGGCCAAATAAAACTCATCACATTTTATTTACAAAGGGACGCAATAAATATCTTAATAATAGTCATAAAATTATTTTTTGCTTACATTTGTTTAAAAAAAAAAAAAAAAAAATCATAAATGTGTCATGTTGTTAGTAGCAACTCATACAAAAACCTGCCAGCAGACAGGTAAATACATACTACTGGTGAAAAGAAGCTGGAGTTTGTTGTCAGTGAGAGAGAGAGAGAGAAAAAAAATGACAGAAGCATAGACTTTTCCCTTTAGGATTCAGATACAAACTCTACCACATGGCGGAAAATATTCCCCTGAATCCTGGACAAGTTGGGTTTTTGAGGAAAAGCTTTAATTGTCAAATATGAAGTGACGAAGGGTGAATGATGTACAGCATTCCTGTCCGAGAATGACTGATCCGACAGGGCTACGTGTTCCCCAAAGCATCTTTGAGACTGTCGTCTAGTGAGAGTGAAATGAGCTCACAGTCAAAAGATGATTTTGGAAAGGAGGGGGAAGAAAAAAAAAAAAAAAGCCCAGTTCAAGCTCAGAGTCGACTGAAAGGTTCTTGAGATTAACTGAACGCAGACAGTGTGACTAGGTAAAGATAAACAAAAGAACAAGGAGGTAGAGGAAGTCATCACCAGCCCCGAAACACACTCGCTTACAGCTCACACTCAAAGAATCAAGGCATCCTTCTCCGCAACAGCTTTAACACATGTGAGCCGGGAGTCCGAGGGAGGCGGGGGGGGGGGAGACGAGGGGATTAACATCCTTTCCCCCCCGAATGCGATGAACCTGGAAGACAGCGTGGAATTATGAATCACATCAGCTGTTGTATTCTTTTTTTTTTGTTTTGTTTTGTTTGTATTGTCTTTTTTTTTTTTCCTTAGTGTTTAAACAAGGCCAAAGCCGCGGCGGGTGCCCGACTAGTCAAAGCATGTCGTGTTTTAGCTGAATCACAGGGCCGCGTGGAAATGTCAAAGAAATCACACACAGTACTCGGAGCGCATTCCAGGAGCCGCGAGTGAAGCTGAGGTTGAGAGACATATGGAAAAAAAAAAAAAAAAAAAAAAAAGAGGAAGAGAAAGGCCTGTAAAATATTGCACTCAAAGCTACACAGTTATCCCGGCAGCACAGTGTCACCTGCGACCGCCACCTCTCTCCGTTTCATCTCCATGGTGTCTAATTCCAGTGGAAAGTATGGGATCCGCGTTGTCAGGGGCAACACAAACAAAAACCGACAGGTATTCCAATAAATCTCTAGTTGGCTGATTTTTATAACATTACGTCAGCTCCTGCTTCGGCTCCCATTGTCAAAAAGAAAGTGTGCCTTCAGCTTCGCAGTTCAGATGTAGCCGAGGACGACGGCGACGGGAATTCTCTCAGAGGTCCTTTAGTTTATCCAGTATAAATAACATGACAGACACGTTAGCACAATGACATCAACCCAGAAGAATCCAAGAGTTAGGAAATATTCAGTCATCCTGAAATACAAAAATAAAACATCTTTGACTTTTTTTTTTTGTTGTTGTTGTTCTTTTTGTCTTTTACAGAAGTGAAGTCTTTAAGGTGATTCTTTTAAGAAGCTTGAGATTTTTTTTTTCTTTCAGTTACAGTTTTATCCCCCCCCTCCCGTCCCCTCTCCCTCCCGCCCAGGAACACTAGTGCTGTCCCATTGGTCCCATCAGTTCCTCTTGGAGTTGGATTTTAATCGCCGAGCCCTTCGTGTCCGCTTAGTTACTGTGGTGAAACGAAACTCCTCCAGCGGATCCACCCGGCCCTTCGGCTGCCGCTTCATGAAGTGGACTTCCTGCTGCCTCTGCGTGGTCCGCGAGCCTTTCTTGGGCCGCCCCTTCCGGTTGAAGCCGAGGTACCATCCTTTGTACTTGGCCGACACCAGGGCCGTGTAGTTGTTCTCCAGGAATTCCTCGACAAAGACGCACTCCTGCTTCCTTCCATCGGGCTGAAAACAGAAAAAAAAAAAGACAGGACGTTAATTATTAACAAGGCAGCATGACCCCTTCTTCAACTGACATTCTGCTTTATTTCCATCACATCAATGTATTCGAACTCAGAGTGGTTTCTCTTGGGGTTTTGTAGAATGAAGCCTGAATGTGGCGTTAATATCTCATCTTTATATTCTTATAATATTAAAAATGTGTAGATAACAGATACAACTGGGCAACCAGCACATTACTGAAGACGGCAGGAAGGTTGAATCATGACTGACAACACAAGCATGGCTCAAACTGAGGTTGTTATTTTTTCTCAGTAATGAAAGCCTCCCTAAGAGCAGAGAGTTCAATTAAGGTTAAATGTAACTCGATCCACTTTCACATGACTGGTGCTCTGACTTGCACACCTTTACTCTCTAATGCACTCAGAGAAACTTCTTTATTTTGCTTTCTGGAGACTTCGTAGAGAAGCTCTATGCCTGTACCCAACATATTGATCTAGAGCTAACACAGTTTTGTATAAAGTCTGTGGAAGTAGCTCGTCTGGCTTATTTCTTGTTCTTTGTTAATCTTTGCAAAAACCCAAAGGTTAAAAACAGCTTTAAAAATGGTGTCTTCACAGATGGATATGTGCCGGACTGCTTCTTGGCCAGGATCAGTGACTTCTTGGAGTCACCGCTACTTATCTGGCAAGACGATATAAAGTCCGTCCCACTGTTTCCAGTCTTTATGCAAAGCTACGCTGACCGTCTCCTGGCTGTACAGATTTCTAATTAATGGACAGAAAATCTGCTGTATCAATCAAAGGTGTCCAATTGTTGCTTGAAGATATTCAAGAAAAAATTTGTAAGATCTGACTTCGTACTCTTTCAGGAGTTCATTTTGAGTTCAGTTATTATTTAAAAGATCTTAAAGTGATTAAAATACGCAAATAGGGATGCAAATACGATTACACAGAGATCTAGAGAAAATTCTATGATATGGTCTGTTGAAGATTACAACTTCACGACAGGTGTTCGGTGAAGAGGTTTTCGTTGGGGTAAAGTAGTCTGTGCCTGCTATTGGTTGAAAAAACACATCTTTTTTTTATTATTATTTGGGTGTCAGCAAAAATCTCAGACAGATCCGAAGCTTACAAACAAAACCTTCAGCATGTCTGCATCACAAGTATGTTTCGGGTTTAAGAAGTAACGTCATCACTGTGGAGTTTAATTGATTCTTTTTACAGTAGAACTTATTTTGTGAAACAAAGAAGGCAAAAAACAACAATTCTAAATGTAAGTTTACAGATGTTGTTAAATATTCCTACATTTCTAAATGAGGCCTCTGTAACCAAAACACAAAATGCACGTTTCTAACAGATGACCGTAACGAGAGAGTGAAAACTTGTGTTGCACGGCTGCAGCTCCACCGATTGCGACAGCGTGAGTTATTAACGCAGCGAGATCACACGTGTGCCTGTAAAGGGCGCTACACGTTCTCAAATATGAACTCCTTTTCCATATCGAAAGTGGACGTCTGCAGAGTCACATGCAGTCATCCCGCGCTCGCGGCCACCTGGTGTGACTAAGTGATATAATTGCAATGGCATTCCTCCTAAGTGACCATTAGTCTCTCAATGCATTGTGGTGATTGCAGTCCGTAATTGACTGATCGAGTGTCAAAGGAGTAGGCCGATTACGTAATGGAAGAATGGCTGTGAGTTATCAAAGGGGTTTTGTTAGGGCGTACAAAAACAGCAGGAGAAAGCAGATCTGAGGCAGCGTTCAATTCAGTCTGGATTAAGAGCTCCATTTAAAATATTCATTTTGATATTAAAAGGAGACAATTCAATCTTTTACGCTGCTTTTAAAAAAAAAATAACATAATAAATATAAGGTACTCACCCTCCCGACTATTTTGCCCTTCTCGTTCATGCAGATGTAATGCTCGCTCTCTTTTCCTTTTATTCGAATGTGGCTCCCGAAGGTTTCCGTCTCAACAACAAGAAGAGCTGGAATAGAAAAGAAGAAGGAAAAGTAGATTCAATTAAGGTAAATGTATACGAGTACACATGAAGACGGTTTAAGGGTTTCACACAAAGATGCTCTGCTGTTCCTATGTGGTCAGCAGTCTCATGTAGTCTCTCAGATTCCTCCAAAGTTGTAGCACTGTAAGGACTCACTGCAACCTAAAGCTAACCTCTGATCAAAGGGCCTGATGGGGCTTTGTCAGGTACTGAGCCTCACTTTAAGCAACAACTTCTGACAGAAAACGAATCAGATTGAAAATTATAAACTGCCAAATCCTCCAAGATCGAGGACAGATGAAGTTGTGATGATTTTCTTGTACATAATTTGACTAAGTGACTTCATACCACTGTCAGGAAGAAAAGGGGTGAATTATGGGTCACCAGAGCAAAACAAAAAAAACCCAACGTGAATCAAACACAACATCACATAAACATCCTTAAAACTATACATACATCAAAACAACAATCCCACCGTCACTTTAACCTGACACAGCAGTAATCCCCCCCCCCCCGACTCCCGTCCCTAATGTTAACCCCTGCGAGGTCACCTTTGTCTCCGCTCACCCTTCGACCAGCAAAGAGATCTGCCAAACATTTGTGGAGCGGTTATGTGCCCCTCAGGATTAGGTTTCAAGTTCCCTTTAGTCTGTGCTCACTCAATCAAAAAGTTAAGATGATCCATTTGTTTAACACACAGGGCCATTCAGTAGCGCTCAAGGGAGCAGAGGAAGAATAGTGGAAGGGGACGGGATGGGCTCGGGGGCAGAAGTAAAACCCCCCCTCACCCTCCACCCCCACACTACAATCCAACCTTGGGAGAAAAGAGGGTGTTCGGTAACCTGTCTTAAAGGTGAAGGAGGAAAAAGGTATTCCTTCTCTTGTTCTGAGAGATTCCTGCTTGTACGTCTTATTTGGGATCCAAAGAATAGCACTTCGGACTCGGTTTTATTGTTGGATAGATTAATCTGGACTGTTTTTGGGGTCTTTGAGAAGGAACAAAAACCCGCAAGAGCGGTTTACACATTAAGAAAATGATGTTTCAAAAGATATTTCTCTGCACGTCAAGTTTAAGAGTCATTTGACAACCCTTTGGCCTTCTCGCTGTGAGCTGGTTTTGCGCGGAGACCCAAAAATTCAACCTCAGGTATGAAGCCTCGGCCCAGAACATCAGATAAAACAAGATTTCCCTCCTTACTGTACGTTGTCCTTTGTCTGTGACCCTATTCCAAACCTTATCTCGAGTCTCTGAGAAAACCACTAATGGTTTGATCTTTAAAAAAAATGAAGACTTTGGCAGCTGAAGGCACCGGCAAATTTAATTAGATCCTTGAGTCATAGCTCCAGTGAAATACAAACACGAGAAGAAATCTCGCTGTCGTCAATACCGCTAACAAGTGGCATTTAGTTGACAAAGAAGGGAATGTTGTACTTTTATTTACAGTGCCAGCACTTCGAAACCATAATCCACATAATCCACAACCTTAAAAATCTCTAAATGTATGAGCAGGGCACTTTGGTAATCTCTTGGCAGCCTTCTGAGTGCAGGAGTGCTCAATGTTTTCCAGAGCTTATGGTAAAATAATAATAGAGTCTAAAAGATGAAAAGGTGTTTTAATTTGATCGGAACGACATCCAGAAGTTAATGTGTTTCAGTCTGCAAGCGACTGCTGCAATATTCTGTTTATAATTTGGGGTGATTTTTTAAACCAGCCTCAGAATCCACAGATCACCAGAGTTGGTACTGAACAGAACAAACTCTATTATCACATTATGCGATCACAATTTGGACAGAAAAGCTCCACAGTTTTAACAGACATGCAAGCATAACTGAGAGTCACGAGCGCCTTCTCTGGTGCTCCTTCTGAGCTATGTGCTCCTTTTTGTGCATCCGTGCAATATGAATAATGTGGGCCACAGCCATATATTGACCTCAGCAAGAGGCCACCTGTCAAAAAGGCTGGAAACTCCAGCTTTAATTCCAGATTGCAGCTTTTATCAGTTTAAAAGCACTTGCAGTGACCCACCATCTGCTCTTAGTGGACAACAGACATCACTTACAATGGACTGTTCCGCAAAAGGATTGTTCTAGTCTCTTAAAAGTAATGAATATGCTACGCTAATACCTAAGAAGAGTTATAATGCCGTCCACTTTAGCTGTACAGACGTGGACTTTGCAGTCATAAAGCTCTGCATTGAAGCCATATATTTCTTCTGTGGTGCTTTGTGGCCTTTTGCCGTGACGCAGCGGCGACTGAGAATGAATTAAGAGTGCGAAGAGTATCTCGCTGAGCATTATTAGTGAGTGCAAAGGAGTTCACAGGTGCCAGGTACTGCAGCTGGATGGGGAGGAGGAGGTGCGGGAGGGAGGAGGGTGGAGGGCAGAATTGGCAAAGCCTCATGGGAAAAATTGGATCTGCTTCCACTCAAGCTCTAACAAGCAGTGAGGAAACTTCGCCTCGGCGCATCTGTGACTGAACACACTCACTCAGAGGCATTCAAGACCAGCAATTTTAGAGCCGTGAGTCAGCTGTTATGAGCAAAATATCTGCAGGGAAGCACAACACAAGTCCTATTGCTTTGTCTTTGTGCCACTACATCAAAGAGTGCTTTACTGACCATCAAGTTACTCATTCACCACAATGTTTTTGATCTGAAATCGTGAAAAAAAAAAAAAAAAAGTCCTTACAGAAGGCAGAGGATGTATCTAGGGTTGATAGAAGAATACATTTGAATACGAAATAGTTGATTTCAAATGTTTTTTGACATCTTCATGCTTAATGCTTAAGTGTTCAAGTTGGCATACTGAAACAAATATGAAACCAAACAGATCAGAAATATGGTTTCCTAGTAAAGACAATACCGATTTCACTCATTTATAATTCCCATACGGACAGCAAATCATTTTTTCAACCTTAGAATACAAACTTGTGTAAAAACTCCTTCAACGAAAACTCAAAAAAAAAAAAAAACAACAGAAAAGACTATTTTGCAGAGTGGCAAACCAACCAGACAGTTGTTTTGGTCCATATTAGATAAAAATTCACACCACTGGGCCATAAATCTATCAAGGTAAAAATAGGACTCGTTCTGGATACCCAAGTGCTGCAGTAAACATCCACTGCAGGGTCAGCAGTTTCCACATGTTTTCATCCACCCCAACCAGCAGTTGGCGGCTTCCAAAAGTCACCCTCCACTCTCGCACCAGCCAAACAAAGAGCATAGAAAACCACCCCCCAAACAATGGGTAGTAAACAGCCAAGGAGGAGAAGGAGGACGGCTCTGAAGAAGCACCAAGACCTGGCTGGTTGGAGGGTGGGGGTGGTTTCTCATCCTGGTATAACAGGCTAGCTAAAGTGTCAGGTGAGATGCACAGGAGTTCTCCCATACCATACTTGCCCCCATCATCTCCGTTGGCGTTGATTTTCTTCCCCAGGATCTGGACATGCTTGCCTGTGGTCCTGCTGTACAGCTGATAGATCCGGACCTGCTTCCGGCTCAGGTCGTCCGGGTTCCTCGTGTGGTTCTCGATGTAAAACCTGAAATCAGCAGAGCTCTGCTGGGATTCCTGCACAGAGGAGTGAGACAGGAGGAAACAGAGAGAGACAGACAGACAGACAGAAGATGAAGAAACAGAGAATGAAAGAGAGACAGACAGTGAGAGACCGTCACAGCACAGGTGTTGATAGTAATGTGTGCTGTTGGTTTTATGGGCCCGGTGTCAAAAAAAATTGTGCTTCGGGGTCTAAAAACTGAAATAACAACTTGGAAATTGTGGCTGTGGCATTTTAGTGTTTCTCTGCTAGCTTTCATTTGACACATTTTATATGCAAAACATTTACAAGCTACTAACTATTGTATGTTACAAGACATGTTAATGAAGGCAGCGCTTGAGTAAAGCAGAACAAGTGCAAAGCCTACAGTGGAACCTTGTGCTGGTTCGTATTGAGACAGAGTATATTATGTGCCTCGGGCAATATTGAGAAACCTGTACTCCATTTCCACAAGCAAGCAAACCACTAGCAATTATACACCTGAAGCATCCAGACCTGTTGCACTATCATCAAACAAATATCTTCCTGGAGGCCAAGTAGGGTCCATAAATTAGGAAACACAGCAGGCGGACGACAAGACTGAGATGGAAAGCGGCACCTCAAACCACAAAAACTCCCTTATTGGAGAAATGTATGAGCAAATCGAACAAATCTGCCTTTAAGAACTCGCCGACCGGCTGTTTGTGGGTCATGCAACTGACATAAGAACAGAGCACATCGCAGAATTCGGCGGCATCTCAGAACAGCAAACTGTGACCGAACATGTGGAAGAGCTAGAGGAAACGTATACTTTCAGAAGCCCTGGAATCTCACTTCACGCCAAGATCCCATTTCCCCAGCTGTATGGTGTGGTAATTGCACAGTAATGGCTTTTTATGTGGCTGTTCTCAGGTGGCTAATTATATACACATTACATACCCCAAGTCCTTGTTATTCTAACTTCAGCAAATTAATGACATGTAGCAAACATGATGGGAAATTGTGGCCTCAGAAGAACAAATCCTTAAAATCAGAGCGGAAAAATAAACAACTTCTGCAAATCTGGTGCGGTCCTGTCGATTGCTCCTAACATGCCTCCTCTGAACCAGGTGTTATGCAAGTTGCACCCCAAGGATTTAGACCACAAAGGTGGGTTCTTCAGAAGACCTAAAGCCCAGCTTGGACCTCCACCTCCCCCACTCGAAAACGAGACAGAAACCAAAACTAAAGGCATGTTTGCACACATCAGCTCAAGGTTTTCCCTCTAAAGCCCAACAGATTGTGGTGTGCAGCATTAAGCAGCAACTCTTGGTCACACTTTTGAAAAGCCTTTGAAACGGACTTGCTGGCTTGTTACGGCACATTCAGTCTAGAAAACGTGGACCTCGGAGAATCCAGCCCCTGAACTGGGACACAGCTTCTGTGTCGGTTGACATTTAGGCAACACACCCATAATATTACTTTTGGCATCAGGCGGTGCAGAAAATTAGAGGCTGAACGTAATCAGATCAAATATAATATATAATACATAGCGACTCAATTCTGTGGTGTCAATATTGATGACAAGATATCACAACTGGTTGGAATTTAAAAGGGTGGCGACTTCAAAACCTGCCTAATGGGGTTTTTATTGGAGTTTTTTTTCTTACTTATAAACAGCCAGCATCTCTGTGGTTCTCTACAAAGATCACATATGCTTCAAGTAAATACATCTTTAATAAAACAACAAGAGAGATGATGTACTAAATACTTTTACGATACAGTTGACACAATATGAGAATTAACTTAATCAAGGCCTTTACTCTCTAAAACCCTCAAAAAAAAAACTAAACCTTCACCAGTTCCTGCTCTTAAACTCAACCAAGAGTCAGTTACTGCACCACAAAGCACATTTACATCAAGACTGACAAATCCAATGCAAATTACTGCATTTTAGACATTTTGTTTGTTTTCCACAGACTTGCATGACATATTTACATCCGTTACTTAATGCCACAACAACCACCATCGACATGCACAATCACAAAGATGTCTTCCCCCAACAGAAGGCACACGAAAACTTTCCCGACTGCTTCCTCACACAGTCTGCGTCTAGTAGGTGTTCCCAAATAAAGCCAGAAAATGATCTACATTAGAGCTGAGCAGTTAGCATGAGCAGCAAGAGCCACGGCAGGCGAACAAATGAAGAAAAAGGTGTCACCGTCGCAGGAAGCAAAGATGTTACTAAAAACGGAAAGAAGCTTGATCAAAAACTAAAGGCATGCCAGTTTAAAAGCAGCAAAGCGCTCATCCCAAACTCTGCACAAATGTGTTGGGATATCAGACGTCAGCATCTTCTGTTGTCAACTCTCTCTCAAAATGAACCTCAAAGCTGACGAGCAAGAGAGGGGAAAAAAAACTAAACAAAAACTAACACACAACAAAACGCAGCCTAACTGGGCTGCTGAGGGATTTATCCCAAATCTCCCCATCTCTAAACAAACATAAAGGTGTGTTTGGTAGACAGTTGAATTTCATGTCAAGGGAAAGGCAAGCCTAAGCACATGGCTGAGGTGAACGCTAGCGACAACAGTTTTTGTTTTTTTATCACGCTGTCTCCTTTTCTTCAAAGACACAGCATGAAAACGGATATGGTTGAAACTTCAAAAGTCTGGCACCCATCTTCACCGAGGAAGTTGTCGCATCCATCTAAGATACACCTTGCTATCTGCTCGACACACACACACAGTCAGGGTCGCACACACTCGGGTGCAAAAAAAAAAAAGACACGGAAAGACTCCCTCACATGTTGGCAGTGCATTCAAAGTCAACTTCCAACTGTGGTTGCTTCTTTTGTTTTTCCTCGTAAAATCACAACCACAGCATGACACCTAAGAGTCATTAGCTGTGCTGAGCAGCTCTGAGAGGCAGAATTGGACAGTAACATAGTGAGGAGGCAACCTGACAGGAGGAAAAAGGGGGCTATTCCTGTTCTGTCCCTTTTTTTAAAGTTAGATTATTAGGCTGAAACCACTAAAGGAACCACAATCACGTGTTTGACAAACGCCTACGACATGGCTTTTTCTAAAACATGACGAACATGCAGATCACATATGAAATATCATTCATCAGATGTCATGCGTCTGCTGGGTCACATTCTGCACGAGCTTCATACATGTGAGCAACGGACAGCCGCTCTATAGCTTTGTTTATGCCAGCTCTGTTGGAATAATCAGAGCACATAGACTTACATAAGATTGCGGTTTTGTAGTTTTAGGACTTTTACATTATGTCCCTGGAAAATATGTCCAGATAGTCCAGAAGATAGACTTGTTATTTGGTCTCTTAGAGCCAGTGGTTTCCTGACTGGGACATAGTGATCATAGCAAGTGAAAGAATAAAAAAAAAAAACTTCAGAACCAATAAAATGTCATGTTTAGAGTTTACAAAAACCCTTTCCTCCTGCAGGGTTTTAAAGGTCAAATATGACCCCTCATTTTGGCATGATTCAATTATTTTTTTCTCTCTCATAAAATATATGCATTCACTTTAGTAGTATGTTAAAGAAATAATTACTTAAACATTAAAATGTTGGCAACTTTTAGGGATGGCTATGCAAGTGAACCTGCTCCTTTTATGCAGTTAATTCTGTTTTCATATCTCAGATCAGAACAACGCAGAGGAATTAATTTAAACCAACAGTACGTGGAATAATGTGATCCAACACGTCATGCCAATAAAGTGATCAGATATGTTTATGGGAGAAGGAGCGTGCTGTCTGCATCGGAGCTAAATCACAGCGCGCAGTCAATTAGCTGAGTGGATGCCTGCAAATCATTACTGTTCAAAGTGAGACGCAACTAATAAAAAGCGAAGCAACAAGCGCCAAACGAGCCATCTGTTCAAAGAACAACTTTTAACCCCGGGGATCAAAATATTTATTACACGATTCTGTTGTAAAATACTGAAACTGCTACTTGAATCCCCAAATTAAAAACAGGTTTTAATTTAAATTTAGCGCGTCTAATAGTACTGATTGGATTTTTTTTTTTTTAATGTGCTTTTTCCGGTTTGGCATCACTGTGATGATAAAAAAAAATAATTGTATTGTGTTATCTTTACCGATTTTTTTCTGTGTGATTTTTTTTTAAAATCGCTGTGGCCCATGGTGTTAATTTAAAATAGCATGCTGATTTTTTTTTTTATTCCAACATCCTAATTAATTATATTTAACATGGATTGGATTTACGCACGTCAGCTCGGTGTCTAAAATCGTGCAGATTGTCCTGAAAGCAGCCGATTTCCCATCACACTATCATCATTCACGTGAAAAAGCTGCACAGGGACATGCAAACACACACAAAAAGGAGTTGAGCATGGGTGTAAACATACCTGTAGCTGGAAATAGAGTACCAGAAAATGTAAACACCTATGTGGAGAGACGGAGAGAGAGAGAGAGAAGGGAGGAGGGGAGTGAATCACACAGGCAATTACATGAAAAATAAACGCAGCCTACCTGCATGACAGCAATGCACAAATATGAAGTTTTTGGCGACTTCTATTGGTAAGAATGCATGGTTTTATGTGCAAAAGCAAACGGAGATGTGGGACACTTACAGGTATATGAACCTCGAAGGCGGCAGAGACATCTTGGCTTGCAGAAATACAGCTGAAATACACCTGCTTCCACAGATTTAGAGCCCCAGGAAAGGTTGGCGAAATCGCCCCCCTCTCTCTCGCTTTCGCTCCCCTGCGCGTCTTTTACGCACACAACTCCGGGGGTAAGTAGGAGATTGAATCCCAGTGTAAGGATAGATGACGGGAGAGGAGCAGCAGAGTTTCGGCGTGCAACATTGGGTGCTTCCTTGTAGGGGGAAATTATCCACAAGACTGTTTTTCTCAGCTCAGTCTCCTCCGCTCCCCGAAATAACGTCTCCGTAAATCGTCGCCAAACGTGGAATCAGTACTCTCGACCTCTCCAAACAGATCCCCCTCTCTCTCAAAAAAAAAAAAAAGAAAGAAAAAATATCCTTTTTGCGCACCTATTAGCTACGTTACCCCACAAACCCAATCCTGCACCTCCAGAGATCACAGGCTCCTCAGCTCCGTCCGTACCTGTGAGGGATTTCTACACCTTGCATGGGTCATTTTATTGGACCAAGAGCTACGATGGGAAAGGACAGAGGGGGGAAAAAGAAGCGATGAATAACAAAAAAAAAAAAGAAGAAAGAAAACCGGCCGTCCACCAAAAAACAAATCGCTAACTGCGCGCAAACAAACTTCTCCAAGCATAAGTTTTGTTTTTTCAAGAAGAAGAAAAAAAAATGTGGTGTGGAAATCGCAGCGGTAGCAGCAGCAGCAGCGGATCCCTAGAGAGGTTCGGGGTCTGATGATGGCGCAGCAGTGCCTGTCAGTGGTGTTTGTGCGTCTGCGGCTTGAGATTTGGGCACAGAGAGGCTTTTTTGTTGTTGGTGGGTGGAAACATGTCAGCGGTTTGCACCTGATAGGGTAATCTTGGAGAGACCATCAGCTTGGAGTTTTTTCTTCCCCCCCTCACGGTGGTCAAAGCGCTGCGTAAAGAACAACTTGGAACAAGGAGATGAAGCACTTTTTGGTTTGGTTTCATATTTTTTTCATTAGTTTTTTTCCTCCCTCTCCTTAATTCAGTTGGGGAAAGGATTTAATTGGTAGTGGCACATGAACAAAGAAAACCTAATGTGACAAACTAATTTAAATGATATGCGTCTTGCCAAAAACACAATGTGATGTAAACTTCTTTTTTTTTTTTTACCAAATCATCTTATTAGTTGTTCCTCATTACTTTCGGCACATCATGAATATCATGATGCCTGCTGCATTGCTCTGAAGCATAAACAGTTGCTGTGTTGTAAGAGCAACAGAAACTGCTTCTCTCTCTCGGAGTTATTTGCCTTTTAACTGCTGCAGGTTTGTGGATTGGCCTCTCTCTCTCCCAGACAGCATTCAAATGCAGGTTGTTGTCCGCGATTTTTTTCAATAATGTGCTATAACTTATCCCGCATTTAAATGAAAGAGAGGTGTGAATGTGTTTACGAGTACTTCAGAGCTGGCAGCAGTAAAGTGAGCCCACATCCCCGCTGCCATTAAAAAAAAAAGACAGAGAGAGAGAGAGAGGGAGAGGGAGAGAGAGAGAAAACCTTTGTGGTTCGCCTTTATTGTCCCATTAAAACTGGATCGTCGGGATTCCTGCCCCATTGATATTCAGAATGATTCTAAATGATTACATACATAATTCCCCATGCTGGGGCTTTTCAAAGGGTCTCCTGCAGCTAGTTTAGTGGGAAAAGAAAAAGGAGTAAGAGTTCCAGCTGCTCATCTACAAGGAGCAAAACAGCAGCAAAGTAAACACAAATGTGCATGTTGTCAGAGAAAAATATTAATTCACTGCTTTTATTTCAAGTACATGAGTGTTTGCCGTGTACGACCAGTTATGTCACAAACTGTTCATCTTCTCTGCAAGTGCACATGTGGATGAAGAGGGTTGATGTGGGTTTACCCAGTGATTCATGGCTTTCTGCCTAACAAGAACCCTTGATCCTGTCAACCACAGGGCACTGTAATAATCCCTGTAACACAACTGGTGTATAATGTCATTTAAAGCATGACTAATTTAGCCTTGTCTGCCTTAGGGAGGGAAATCACAGCAAAATGGAGCAAATAGTAATTACCCACAAAAGATAATTTGATGATTTCTTTGCAAATACAAGGCACTGGGGGTTTGTTTGATGGGGCGAGGCTTACGTTAGCTGCTGCTGCTGGTGAAGATGATTTCGCTGAAAGTCCAAAATAAAGGCACCTGATAACTGATTTAAAGGCAGGATGATAAACAGCAATTACCATCTGACTGTGATAGAGCCAGCGCTGCCGAGTCACTCATCGCCTCTTAAGCACATGTTTGCGACAAACTTCTCGGAGCATGACTGTGAATCCACAACTGAGAAAAGCCAGAGAGCAGCAGGCTTGGATGTGGCCACCTGTGAGGCACAAGGAGGAAGAAACTTACCTCTGCTTGTGGCAAATAGGAAAGCTGCTGGGTTTTGTTGTTGTTGTTGTTCTTTAGGAGACTTTGGTTTGAAGTTTCGTAATAAGTAATGGACACATGCCAGTTTTTGGATCTGGTTTTTGGATTTGGTTTACCAGTCAGTTTGGCAGCTGATTAAACAGGAGTTTGAGGAGCAGATTTTATTCTACATTTAAAAGAAGTCAAAGTAGATTTTGCTAAACATCATTCTGACCTGTTTACAACTAATTTGACTGAAAACGAGGGATCATTAGTTTCCTAATCAAATCAAAAACCCGTCTCACATTCATCCACATCTGTTTAATTTTTTTATAATCTTACGTTTCTGTTCCAAATCCACCGAGACAACAATTTATGCAACTGCTGTACATCATGTGTGTGACATGGCGCAGATGTGAAGGGCTGGTCCGCACAAATTACAAAATGAAAATGTGTCTTCTGTGTAATCTAGCCTTCGAGAGAGTTTCATTTCATGTCCAACGTTCCTAATGACACTCCAATACAATGGAAGCAGTAGTTCCAATGAAAATCGTTGACATGGGAATTTTTCAGTGATCTAACCACCACGAAGGAAATTCCATTGTCTGTTACTGTAATAGTGTGATTGCATAAAGTCAAACCTGGTAACCCTGCAATTAATCTGCATGGAAAGATACTGCTAGGATGGAGTGAGAAAATGTGTTTTTTTTTTTTTGCAATTTTAAAATAAAGGACTCCACACATTTCCACACCATCAGTCAAAAGCACCTACAAGCTGCCTGCTGTCGCTATTTGAAAAGGTTTTTAAAAAGGATGATAAAACAGCGAGAATCAATCAAATGCTGGTTGAGCGTAACAAGAGCGAGCTTTGTGAATGGAGAGAAAAGTTTCAGTCCAGTTCCTGAGACTCCAAGTGGGGGACGGGGGCGGGTGGGGGGTGTGGACGACTCAGGAGTCGGGATAAGGTTACCCACACAGATTAGCTGACAAGAGTGAGGGAGTGACAAAAACAAGCAAGCAAGTTAAAGGTCTTAGTTTACCTGGCTCGCTCTGCTTGGCAGCCGATGAAAGTGCTTTCAAACCACAGATTCAAGCGGTGCCTGAAATGATCCTCTGCAGCCGCGTTGGCCAATTCTATTTCAATTTTTATGAAAACAAATTGAACTTTTAAGTCAGGAGCGGCAAAGTGGCGAATGATGTTACTTAGACGACTCCCAGAGGCCTTTCAAGCCTTTGAATTTGAACCTCGCCGCATCCGTGCAGTTATGCGTGTCTGTCTGCAGCGACGGGACTGTGGGAATGTCACCGAGGATATCTCATTGAAGCTAAAGGAGGAGGCATCTGAGGGCGGGCGAGCGCTCAGCAGTTCAAAGGACCCTAGCAGGCATTTAAGGCTTGACAAAAGAACTTGGCAGATCAGTAAGTGAAGCCCAATGTACTACATTAGTGTCAGGACCCCCTCCGCGTCCCTCCCACTTTGCACTTTCATCTCTGACACGGACATATTGACTTAAAGGAAAGGAGGGGTGCCAGGGCCGCAAGAGGGAGGGGTGGGTAGTTTTGGTGTGTGTTGAGGGGGTGCATGTGTCCCATTCAATTCCCAAGGTGAAGCGATTGATGCCGAGGGGTGACCACTGACTCATAGAAGCCACCCAGAAGCCTTTTTTTAAACTGGAAGTCACAGGCCGACAAGCATGTGAGACCCAAATGGGACGGCCCTCTTCCTCTCATCTCCCTAAAACTCAGCCTCACCCCATTAGTATATGCTGACCCTACCCCCGCCTCACCAAACACACACACACACATCCCTTTTTCACACTGCTGATTGTGCCCTTCTGCAGGGCTACCCGAGGTCCAACGGCTAACGTGGGTCCAGGTCGCAGCGGGGTCGCGACACCTTGACATTGTGGAGGGTGACAGAGAAAGGAGCCAGAAGAGGGAGAGCGCAGCGAGCCAGCTACCTCGGAGACCTTTCAAGTATCACCTGAAGAAGAGGGAGGAGGAAAAGAAGAAGAAGAAAAAAAAAAGCGGGAAGTGTTTCAGTAATTTGTCCCCCGTCACACATTGTTTGCATGGAGTCATTAAGGACCATTTAGGCTGTGCCTTGAAGGAAGGAGGCCAGAGAATTTGGGTGCAGGCGCTCTTTAGGGGAGAGACCGTGGGAGTGAAGGGTGAAAATTAAAGCATCGCTCTTCAACAAATCTTCCCTGAGCATCACAGTGCATGTCCAACATATTAATGTTTCCATTAGCTTCAGTGGCCTGTTTGACATTAATGATGCTTCGCTCCATCTCGGTCCAGCAGGGAGTCGAGAGTTGTCCAAAAACATAAACAAACGTTTGGGCTCGCTTGTTGCTAGTCGCTCACATGTGCAATAACTTTATGTGACTACATGCATTCTGAAGACCTCACTAAACTATTCGTGCTTGGATGAATTCTTTGGCCATTGCTTAGTGCAGAGAAACTGCCAAAATGTGTCACAGTGCTACAACTGAATAACAATCAGCCGACAGACCTCATGTGTTGTAAGTTTTTGGCCCGCGTTTGACAGATAAATGTCAACTCCCTTGGACGAGCAGAGGTAATCAGAAAGTCTTGTTTCTGTTCGCAGACTGATGTTGAACAATATGAGTGCTTTAATGACATAATAAGGCTTCAGAGCTGGGTGGACTAGTGCTGAAAGTTTGGGAAGTAAAATGATGTAAGTGTTTTTTTGTCAGCGCTTTAATTTTTTTTTTTTCCCTCCCTGAATTGAACGTCCCCATAATTGTTTTCTTGGATGGCCACAATTATCAAATTAAGGGGCTGGTTGTTTGTGATGTGGCATAAAATTGCTTTGAGACTCACAAAACTGGCCCGAAGGTTTGACTCATTCACACAATATGTGATTATTTGACAGTTATTAAGAACACTTAGCTTCCCCGCTGTGTTTAAACGTATCCCGAACCCT